TGCTTCTTTTAATGAAAACGTGAAAGTCTTGGACTTGAAAGAAAAAAGTCACATGCTGAGATTGCTGAGATCCATGGTGAGAATGAATCTTCTATCCATGAAACTGTGGAGAAGGAAAAAAGAGATTCATCCTAGTTTTGCTGTTACACCTCAAACTGGAAAAGTTACAGCCATGGTGCCTGATAAGTGCTTAGTTAAGATGGAAAAGGCATTAATTTTGTGGGCGGAGGACATGAACAGACACGTGTTCTGATTGGCAGTCAGGTTTGGTATTATCTTCAGTTTCAGGCATTCACTGGGAGTCTTGGAATGCATCCCCCACAGATAAGGGGAGGGCTATTGTATAGATCTGCTACAAGTGGCCATAAATATATAGGCTGTTGGATCATTATAAGTAAAGGAGTGATGTGGTCTACAATATACTTTGTTTAGCTGCTCGTTTGAACACTTATTGCTTGATATTATTAGTTTTACATGCAGTAAAGATTATACGTAGGGCAAATAGGATGTAGTCTCAAAGCTATGTTTTAATAATTGATGAGTTTTCTATTTCTTCTCTCTTAATTCTTTCTTTATTGGGTTAGTCCAATAAAATGAAGTCAGTGTGACCTCATGTATCCTGTTATATTTATGACCTTGCTTGGTATAGCAAAAAACTAAAAGTTACATGAATTTTTCATATTTTAGAAATTATACTGGTATTTCAGATTGTATCATTTCTAATTTTTATATCAGGTCTAGAAAAAAATTTTGTTTTCTTTTAAGTTACCCTTTTCATTATTAGATGTAGTGAACATCATAATGTTCATATATTGATTTTTTTAGATGCTTTTTCATCATTTACTTAGTGCTATTTTTCCTCGACTTGTCCCTCCCATAGGATATTTCTGTTGTTAAAAAAACTGAAACATAAAATATATAGGTGAGCATCTAATATAATTTATCAAATTTTCAAAAAAGATGTAGTCATAAGTAATTACATTATCCTGAAGTTAAGGTATAGCCTTTCTATCCCTTTGTTTTCTTGCTCTAAAAATGAGATATAATATACTTATAAATTATGCATATTAATTAGAATGTACAGGTATAATACTTACATAAATGCAGTTTCATTTTTTAATTTATTTTTATTTTATCAATATACAATGTAGTTGATTTTCATGTCTCTTTACTGATTCTTCCCTCCCCCCCACCCTCTCCCCACTCGTTGTCTTAACAAGTTCAAGGAATTGTGATTGTTGTGTCTTCTTCCCTGACCCCTCCCCATTTGTTTGTGTATTTATTTAATTTTAGTTCCCACAAAGAAGTGAGAACATGTGGTATTTCTCTTTCTGTGCCTGATTTATTTCACTTAATATCATTTTTTCTAAGTCCATCCATGTTGCTTCGGATGGTAGTATTCTTTTTTAAAGCAGAGTAGAATTCCATTGTGTAGATATCCATTGTGTAGTGGATACATTTTCCATATCCACTCATCTGATGATGGACATTTGGGCTGGTTCCAACTCTTGGCTATTGTAAATAGTGCTCTGATCTTTGACAAAGGCACCAAGTCTACACACTGCGGAAGAGACTGCCTCTTCAGTAAATGGTGCTGGGAAAACTGGACATCTGTATGCAGGAGAATGAAACTAGACCCATACCTCTCACTATATACCAAAATCACTCAAAATGGATTAAATAATTAAATATACACCCAGAAACAATAAAAGTTCTTAAAGAAAACATAGGGGAAACACTCCAGGAAGTAGGATTGGGTATAGACTTCATGAATACGACTTCAAAAGCACAGGCAACCAAAGGAAAAAATAATACAAATGGGATTACATCAAACTAAAAAGCTTCTGCACAGCAAAAGAAACAACAGTTAAAAGACAACCAACAGAGTGTGAGAAAATATTTGCAAAATACACATCTGACAGAGGATTAATATCCAGAATATACAGGGAACTCAAACAACTTTACAGCAAAAAAACCAAGTAACCCAATTAAAAAATGGGTAAAGGAGCTGAATAGGCATTTCTCAAAGGAAGACATACGAATGGCCAACAGACACATGAAAAAATGCTCAGCATCACTCAGCATCTGGGAAATGTAAATCAAAACCATACTGATATACTATCTCATCTCACTCCAGTTAGGATGGCTAATATCCAAAAGACTGAGAATGATAAATGCTGGCGAGGTTGGGTAGAAAAAGGAACCCTCCTACACTATTGGTGGGACTGAAAAATGGTGCAGCCTTTTTGGAAAATGGTTTGCAGGTTCCTCAAACAATTACAGATAGATCTACCATATGATCCAGCTATTCCACTGCTAGGAATATACCCAGAGGAATGGAAATCATCATGTTGAACTGATACCTGTACCCCAGTGTTCATTGCAGCACTCAATGCAGTTTCATTTTATGAGTTTTGCAAATATATAATTTGTTGAGATATACAACATTTTTGTCACCTTCTATAGTGGATTGACTAGTGTCCTCCCAAATTCAAGTCCACCTGGAACCTTACAATGTGAGTGTATTTGGAAATAGTCTTTGCAGATATATTAAGGTAAAGATGAAGATAAAATCAAATGAGATTCAAGTGGACCCTAAATTCAATGAGTGTGTCTTTATAAGTGTCAGAAAAGGACACACAGATGTACATAAGAAGAAGGCTGTAAGAAGGTGGAGGCAGGTTGGAGTGATGCTCCCACAAGCCAAGGAATGCTTGGGACTACCCAAAGCTGGAAGAAGCAAGAAAGGATTCTCACCTAGGGCCTTCAGAGGGAGCATGGCCCTGCTGAAAACTTGACTTAGAATCCTAGTCTCCAGAATTGAGAGAATAAATTTCTGTTGTTCAAGCCACCAACTATGGTAATTTTTAATGGCAGCCCACGGAAACTGATGTACCCTCCCCTACCAGACCTTCTATTGTGCACCTTTCCAATCAGTCCTCAGCTCTCAAAAGCATGTTCTTATTTCTATCACCCTAGAATAGCTTCACCTGTCCTTGACCTTAATATAAATGAAATTATACAGAACATACTCTTTGTGTGTGTTTGGATTCTTTTGATCAACATAATGCATATGAATTTCATACATGTTGTGTGTATATGTATTTTAATCCTTTTTAACATTGACTAAAACTCATTGTATGACTATACCACAATTTGTTTATTCTGTTCATAGACATTTGTTTCTTCCTGCTCATATTTCTTCTATTATTTCTGTTTGTAGCCATCACTGGAATATTAGAAGTTATATGTCCTATTACTGTTTTTGAAGTCAGTACCCTAAAGTCACAGAAAGTACATTTTACTTTCGTTGATATTGGTCTTCCTCACTATTAATGCAGAAACTCTCAATGCTTTAACTTTGTCTTTCCCCTCAAGTCTTTCATGTTTTTACTACTGAATATAAAATATTTATTTTAAATCCTGAAAATTAAGCACTTTTAAAAAAAATCTATACTTTTATAGATAAACCAACAAACATATTTGTCAATTAGCGTGACAACTATTGCTTGTTGCGTTCTAATCCCTTCTGGGTTCCATTTTATTTTCTCCATTATACACAGTTTATTATTTTAGTGAATGCTTTTTTATTGATAAATTTCTTGCCTTCGTTTTGGATGAAAATATCTTTATTTTGCTCCCATTCTTAAACATAATTTAACTGCTTATAGAATTATAGTTTGATAATCACTTTTCCTCAGCATGTTAAAGATAATATCCCACTGTCCAATATTTCTGATTGGAAATCAGTTGTCATTTTTATTTTTATGAAGGTAATCTGCTATTCCTCTCTGGCTTGACTTTAATCTTTAGAATAAATATGCTATATTTAGACACAAGCTTACTTTTACTCATCTGCCCAAGTTTATCAATTTTTCATCTAAGAACTCATGTCTTTCTTTAATTCTGGAAACGGATCAGCCATGATCTCTTTGAATAGTGTATCTTGTTCATTCTTCTGTGATACCTACTAGTCATGTCCTGACACCTTTTCATTTTTTCCTTACATTCTTCTTACCTTTTTAGCTTTGTGCTGCTGTTCTTTCTGTTTTCCAGTTGTGCCACTCTATTCTAGTCTATCATTGTCTATAGAATTTTTTTTCAGTCTTAGAATTTTCATTTTATTCAAATTTGCATATTCTTGCTTTTTCAAAATGTGATCTGTAGTCCTTTATCTCTTCAAATATTTTGTAGATACTTATTTTTAAGGCTCTTTAGGAATGCTCTGTTATTTCTGGTTCTTTAGGTATGAATTTTCCTTCTTACTGATAAATTGATCACTCTTCCTCATGGGTATTTGCTTGTTCATGTGATTTGTTCATTTTGATATTAAGGTAGTTTTCCATGAAAGTCCCAGGTCTCAGGATTATAGAATATTTGTAGAGAGTATTTTTGTATTATTTTTCTTTGTTAAGTTTTCCTGGATCTGGACAAGCTTTTATGTTAACTGCTTGACTTAGGGACCCCATACTACAATGATAATTTGAATTGGGGTCCCATACTTGGATTTCTTGCAGGCATGGGGTTCTCATGTCTCATGAGTTATGTTTTCTCTTTCCTGTGATCACCCCTCTCATGTCCTCAAAACAAGGGTGGAATTCTCTCTGGCCAGTTGGAGTGGGGGGGGGGGTGTAGTATTTGTCATGAACAAACAGCCCTCACAGCTGCAGGCTACATAAAGGGAGCTAAGTGTCAACTCTTTACATACATGTTTCTTGGACTGGATTCAGGACCCTGCCATAAGTTCTATCTCTGTCTGTTCTAACTTCCCCTTGAGGCATTCAGTTTTAGCTCTGGCTTCAACTCTGCCTCTCAGTTTCTTTTTTTCTAAGTTTGGTTGAGCAATAACCGGTCTTTGTGGGAGCAGGCGTGGGGGTGAGAATATTTTGTTTAGTATTTTTATTTGAGTAGAGCAGAAAGACAAGAGGCATATGTCCTTTCAGCATGGTGTATTGACCAGAAGTCTGATCATGTTCATATTTCTTGTTTTTCTTTTACAGCTAGCTATGTATCAAATCCCATTTGCAAGGGTTGTTTGTCTTGTTCAAAGGACAATGGGTGCAGCCGATGTCAACAGAAGTTGTTCTTCTTCCTTCGAAGAGAAGGGATGCGCCAGTATGGAGAGTGCCTGCATTCCTGCCCATCGGGGTACTATGGACACCGGGCCCCAGATATGAACAGATGTGCAAGTGAGCATTTGACTTTGCCCTATTTAACTGGATGTGCAACTTTGTCTAACTTGAAAATTCTGACTGAACAAAAGGTCTGTTTGTAATAGGCTATAGAAATAGCCTAAGCTCAAACCTGCAAAAACAAGTGGGGTAGGATAAGAGCACTTTTATTTTATGTTTTGTACAGAAGCATACCACATAGTCACACCATTTTTATTTATTTTGATTACTTAAGTATTTTTTCATCACAAGGATCTCATACACATGCTTGTTAGGCAAATCTTTGTAAGGAATACTTAGTACTTACAAAAACAAACAACAGCAGCAACAAAAACAAGCCAACAAAACAAACCAAAAAGGAATTTAAATATTTTATAGTGGGAATATTCTCTCTGGTTGACCATAGTTTCTATAGTTTCTTTTCCCTTTTACCTGGGATTATAATACCTGCTTTAGTCTAACCTGCAATTAAATATATGCAATTTAGGTTTCTTTAAAGCATCATTACTGATAAATATGTAACTAAAATGTTTAGTTTATTTCAAAGAATTGAGTCCTAACTTTAACAAGTATAAAAAAGGTCAAGGAATGGCATTTTGTACAAAGGAATGAGGGTGTAAGTTTTCCTCTTTTAGTCTAAAAATCACTTATAGAATGATTCTCATCTTCTAGGTCAACAGTAGAAACTGGGGTTAAAAAAATGAGAAAACAAAGGAACATTTCCCTTTCTTTACGGAGCTCAAATTTTAGGGCATAGAGGGGGTAAGGAAAAGGGAACCATGGAGTGAAATGACAAATGGGTAGCTATTTAATCATAACTTAATAGATTAAGTGCTCTGTCAGTAGGCAGTTAACACACTTTTTACATGACTATTTGACTGAGATGGTCTTTTAGATAAGGGAGTTTGAATTGCATCATCCAAAGACAATATTATTTTGGAAGGAGGCAAAACTAATGGGAGCTGATTAAGTAAATTCTAGAAAAAATAAACCACATATACAAAGGGTATTCAGAAAGTTTCTGGAAACATTATATTATTTTGTAATTCTGCTTTTCCACGAACTTCTTGAAGTACGCTTGTATGTAAAAACGTGTTTGGAGAACAAGTCTCACCTGCAGTGCTCTCCGTCATTTTAGCAAGGCAGTTCTGTTTCATGGGACTTATCCTACATTGCTGGACATTGGTGTTTTTGGTTCCTGCCTTTAAATGTCCTTTGTGGCCTGAAGCCACTGTGACAAGCAAACAAGTCCCCAAATGTTTCTTTTTCTTTTTTAAAATTTTATTTTTTTAATTGGGATATTGTAATTATACATATTTATGGGGTACAATTTGTTTCAATACATATATGTTGTATGACGACTAACTGAATGTATTTCACATATCCATCACCTCATGCATTTATCATTTCTTTATGATGACAATACTCAATTCTATCTTCTAGCTATTTTGTAATACACGATACTGTACTATTAAGCATTGTCACCCTACTGTGCAGTAGAACACCAGAACTTATTCCTCGTACCTAATTTTAACTTTGTGCCCATTAACCAACATCTTCCTCCCCCACCCCCAGTCTCTGGTAGCCACTGTTCTTCTTTTTGTTTCTGTGATATTTACTCTCTCTATTTCTCTCTCTTTTAGGTTCCACATATGAGTGAGATCATACAGTATTTGTCTTTCCATGTCTGGTTTATTTCACTTAATGTGATGTCCTCCAGATCTATCCATATTGTTGCAAATGATAGGATTTCTTTCTCTCTCTTTTTTTGTGGCTGAATAGTACTCCATTGTGTGTATATACTACATTTTCTTTATCCATTCATCTGTTGTTGGACGCTTAGAGTGATTCCATATCTTGGCTATTGTGAACAGAACTGCAGTAAACATGGAGTGCAGATATCTTTTCGACATGGTGATTTTCTGTCCTTTGGGTATATACCCAGTAGTGGGATTGCCGGGTCATATGGTAGTTCTGTTTTTAAACTTTTGAGGAACCTCCATACTGTTTTACATAGTCATTGTACTAATTTACAGTCCCACAGATACTGCAGGGAGAGGGTCTGGGGAGGTCAGATAACTGGCCTCAATCCACCCCATCCTCTCCCAGGTTCTTGACTCCACCATGGGAAAGAATTCAAGGGCAGAATCACAAGAAATGAAAACAGATTTAATGTAAGAGAATAAGAAATACAGACTTCGCAGGGAAAATGCAGCCTAGCTCCAGAGACTGAGCAGGAGCCTTAGCAAGTTTAATACAAAAGTAAGAAATACACACTTTACAGACAAAGTGCAGACCGGTCTCAGTGAAGAGCAGCCCACTAAAGGCAAGTTAACATAAAAAGTAAGATATACACACTTCATAGGTGAAGTGCAGGCTGGGTCCAGAGAGTGAGCAACAGCACTGCCTTCTTCCTGGATTCGATTTTTATAGTTTTGCTATCTATACATATTCATGCTATCTAATGAATATTCAGCTAAGGGGGTGGTTCCCAGTTATGTAACCTAGTCTTGCACATGCTCAGTTGGTTTCTTTTGGAGCATGCTCATTGGTCAAATTCCACCACATGCAACAGATACGCTTAAAATATTTTAGGTGCTCTCTGGAGCCTCCAGTGAGAGATCATTCAGAGGATAAACTCCTTCTTACTGAGCGTGCTTGGACACTGAGATGTCTGCCTCCTGTGATCTCAATCTCCACACACCCGTGTTGAAAATAGGTGCTACAGGCTACCATAGCTTAGGACTCAGAGGCAGGGCTTGAGTCCTAGGGGAGTGGCCTGAAACCCAATCCCAGGGGCCTGAGCACCTCCTATCTCACCACCACCAGGGTGGGAGTGTTCCCTTTTCACCTCATCCTCACCAACACTTATTATCTTTTGTCTTTTTGACAAGTCAGTCTAATTGTCAAGTGAGATGGTATCTCATTGTGGTTTTGATTTGCATTTTCCTGATAATTAGTGATGTTAAGCATTTTTTTTTGTCTTTTTTTTTCCGTGTCCGGCAACGGATCGCAACCCTCAGTGTCGCCCCCGGACCGGGACCAGCAACGGGATCGCAGCCTTCGGTGTTGCTCCCGCGCCTCACTCAGCCAGTGAGCGGGAACCGGTCTATATGTGGGATCCGAACCCTCGGCGGGAGCGCCGCCGCGCTTCCCAAGTGGCGCACCACAGCAGTGCGCCACCGGGCCGGCCTTAAGCATTTTTTTTTAATGTACCTGTTGGCCATTTGAATATCTTCTTTTGAGAAATGTCTAATAAGGTCTTTTGCCCACTGAAAAAAATTTGTTTTTAATTTTTATTTTCTGCTGTTGAGTTGAATTCCGTATATATTCTGGATATTAACCCCTTGTCAGATACATAGTTTACAAACATTTTTTCCTATTCTGTGGGTTGTCTCTTTACTCTGTTTCTTTTGCTGTGCAAAAGCTTTTTTTAATTTGGTGTAATCCCATCTGTCTATTTTCACTTTTATTGCCTGTATTTTTGAGGTCTTATTTAAAAAATCTTTGTCCAGCCCAATGTTGTAAAGCATTTCCCCTATGTTTTCTTCTAGTAGTTTTATAGTTTTGGGTTTTACATTTAAGTCTTTAATCCATTTTGAATTTATTTTTGTATGTGGTGAAATGTAGGGGTCTAGTCTCAGTCTCTCAAACATTTCTAAACACCTCCTAAGAGAGCGACATCATCCCTGGATGAGAACCATTGAATAGTATGTGCTTAATGGGAGGTGTGGTTAGAATTGAGCGTGGAAAGGGAGGCTGGAGTGTAACTGATAAGGGTCTTGAGCTGCACACACTTCTACAATCTCAGTCAATGTTTATAATCATATGTACTGTGCAATTTAGGAGGAGGGGAAAAGCTGTACAGGCATTAACTGTAAAATTTTTATTTTTTTTTTCTCTTGCAAAATCAATGAAAGATGTTACTAAGGAAAGAAAAAAAAAAAAAAAAAAAAAAAAAGGTCTTGAGTGCCAGGCAAAAAAGTCTGGATATTATTTGATGGTCTTCAGCAGGCAGTGGACTAAAGTGATTGCTTTATTTAAGGTAGATCTAGCAGAAGTGAGGAGATGAGTTGGAGAAGGATAAGAAGAGGAACACTGTTGTAACAATTGCAGATGAAAAATCTTGTTCTGATGAAAGGTTTGTGGGTAATGAGTTCCAGAGGCTTTTAGAATAGAATCTTTGAGACTTTGTAATTGCACAGTGAGAATCATTTGATTTTAATATTTCTAGATAAGACTGGGTGAATGGTTTTGTCATGAGTAAAAATAGAAATATTTAGGCTTAGAGGAAATTTTTATTTACCTCTGTTTTATGAAGTTGTTCAGGTTAATAACTAGAGGTATGCAACTTCCAAAAAATATGAGTAGACTAGCAAATTTTTGCAAATATGTGTTTTGTCCTTAAAATATGTGGGTTGGGCCACTTAGTAATGTCTCTCATAGTTTATGAATTTCCATAGGATAGGGTCCACCTTGAAATGGATTCCTGTTCATATTGCTTTAGACTACCTATAGGAAGGGTTTGAGTACACAACTGTCCTGTGCATTTTTCATTCCAGACTGTAAGTGCACAAGGAAGACAAGGCAAGAAGTGTGGATGGATCGAGGTATTTATTCCAAGTTCTGAAGCTAGTGTTGTATGTACTGTGTATAGACAGGCTGGCCAGATAATGTATTACTCAACCTGGGACATTGGCAAGTGAAAGGGGCTGCTATTAATGTCTATGCAGGGGCATTGGGTGTAAACCAGGACTGTCCCAAGCAAACTGGTATCATAGTCATCTCAGCAATAACTCAGTGGTAAGCAGTCTTCCTTACACATTCCCAGGCAGGGGTTAATAAGCTCATTTTGGCTATGTTAATCCCTTTTCTCAGAAATGGAAAGGAGAGCAGTGACTGTAAATCAGCCTTGGAAAGAGGATCTATGTGTGAGAATGGGTTTGCTATGGCTATACTTATTGTAAGTGAATGCAATCAGTGTTGGAGTTTACCTAGTGGAGGAAATCATTACTTAT